CAGCCCGAGCGCATCGACCCCCCCGACCCCACCAAGCCCGACTACGACATCCGCGCCGACGTCTGGAGCCTCGGCATCTCCCTGGTGAGCCCCAACCTGTCCCCAACCCCTCCCCGCGTCCCCACCCTGTCCCCAACATGTCCCCAGCACGTCCCTGCATCCCCACTGTGTCCCCAAAACGTCCCCGACTCTTCCCCGGGTCCCCACCACATCCCCAGCCCAACCCTGGGTCCCCAGCACGTCCCTAACGTGTCCCCAGCACATCCCTGGGTCCCCACCATGTCCCCACTGTGTCCCAAAGATGTCCTCAGCTCCCCACTGTGTCCCCACCACATCCCTACATCGTCCCTGTGTCCCCACCGCATCCCTGGGTCCCCATCTTGTCCCCAGCGTGTCCCCAACCTGTCCCCAGGTCCCACCACTTCTCCAGTGTGTCCCCACCGTGCCCACGTTGCGTCCCTGCCCTGTCCCCGCTGCGTCCCCACCACGTCCCCGTGATGCCACTGTGTCCCCGTGATGCCACCACGCCCCCGCAATCCCCTATCTCCCCGCCACATCCACCTCCATCGCTGCCACCGTGTCCCATGAGCCCACCGTGTCCCCCAGCCTCATTCCTGTGTCCCCCTGTGGCACGGCCACGTCCCTGTCCCCCCTCGGTGACGGCGGTGTCCCCGCAGGTGGAGCTGGCCACGGGGCAGTTCCCCTACCAGAACTGCAAGACGGATTTCGAGGTGCTGACGAAGGTGCTGCAGGAGGATCCCCCGCTGCTGCCCCCCGCCATGGGCTTCTCCGGGGACTTCCAGGCCTTCGTCAGGGACTGGTAGGTGACAAGCCACCCTCCCCAGGGCTGGGGACACGTCCCCGGCGTGTCCCCGGGGTGTCCCCGCGGCGCTGACCCACCTCCCCTCTCCCCCAGCCTCACCAAGGACCACAGGAAGAGACCAAAGTACAACAAGTTACTGGTGAGTCCCTGCGGCCACGTCCCCTCCGGCTGTCCCTGTCACATCTGTCCCCAGAGAGGGTCCCCGCCTCTGTCCCAGGGCGCACGCGTGTCCCCGGCCCGGCCCGGCGCGTGCTGCCATCCCCGGAGGGGTCCTCGGCCTCCCTGTCCCTGTCCCCAAGCCCCTGTCCCCATGCGTGTCTCCACACGGGTGTCTGGTGTCCGTGTCCCTGTCCCCAGCTCTGTGCCCACGCATGTCCCCACTCCCGTGTCCTGGTGCCCATGTCCTTGTGTCCCTGTCCCCGTGTCCACGTCCCCCTGCCTGTGCCCCCTCTGTCCCTGTGTCCATGCGTGTCCCCATTCCTATGTCCTGGTGCCCCTGTCCATGTCCCCATACCTGTGTCCCCGTATCCCCATGTCCCTGTCCCCACATCCGTGTCCCAGTGCCCATATCCACGTCCTGAGGCTCGCGTCCATCTCCCCACGTCCCTGTCCTTGTGTCCCCACACCCCTGTCCCCATACGTGTCCCCATTCCCGTGTTCTGGTGCCCATATCCACGTCCTGACGCTCGTGTCCATCTCCCCACGTCCCTGTCCTTGTGTCCCCATGCCCCTGTCCCCATACGTGTCCCCATTCCCATGTCCCGGTGCCCATATCCACGTCCTGACGCTCGTGTCCATCTCCCCACGTCCCTGTCCTTGTGTCCCCACACCCCTGTCCCCATATGTGTCCCCGTTCCCATGTTCTGGTGCCCATATCCACGTCCTGACGCTCGTGTCCATCTCCCCACGTCCCTGTCCTTGTGTCCCCA